ATAATTGTTCGAGTTGGGAGCTGTATGAAACTCGGGGTACCACTGTATTCACACCACACATTACCCTTAGACACATCTCCACTGCCTCCAGCCTCCTTCTTGCTGCAGCATTTACAACCCATGCTTCACAACCATATAAGAGTGTTGGTGTCACTATATTCTCATACATTCCCTTCTTTGCCTCCTTGCTCAAAATGCCCCGGCATGATAGTGGCTTTCTTTGTACTTAACAAGCCAAAATTTTAATTACACATTGTAACCTTTGCAAAGAAATAAAATCTTTATTCTTATTCTTTTTATTTATGGATAACATTCTTTGTCTCCACAGATACCTCAGTGCACCACCTATATTTTTTCCTTCATCAATTCTATGGTTTACCTCGTCTTTCATAAACCCATCTACTGACAATTCTAATTTTATTAATAACAAATACGTATGAGAAAACTAATTTAAGAGCCCGTAATTGAAAATAAGTTGTCTATAAGTCTTTTATAGAATATCACAAATATTTTAATTGTTGGAAGTGTTGCGACCTTGTAAAGGGCAGACCATGACATCTCCTTAGTAAATGTGAGTTGAAGGTAAAAGTCTAATTACCCTGTGTTCACTTTTGTTGATAAATTCCTATGTGACTTTAATACTCTGCTCTAAATGTTTTCCCAAAATAGAATATTTTGTCATATTATTGTACATAATCATATAGAAAGAAATGTTTCTTGCCATGTATTTCACATTCTTCAGGGTCATGTTTCAGTTCTGATATTGATGTGTATGGTAGGGTTATTACTGAAAGAATTAGAGGTAAGACAGAGAGTAGGATTGCAGATGAACAAGGAGGCTTGGGAAGGGGTAGGGGATGTGTAGACCAAGTGTTTACATTGAAGCATATAACTGAACAATATTTAGATAAAGGTAGGGAAGATTTTATTGCTTTTATGGATTTAGAAAAGGCATGTGATAGGGTGGATAGGGGAGCAATGTGGCAGATGTTACAAGTGTATGGAATAGGTAGTAAGTTTCTAAATGCTGTAAAGAGTTTTTATAAGGGTAGTGAGGCTCAGGTTAGGATGTGTAGAAGAGAGGAAGATTACTTTCATGTAAGAGGGATGTGTAATGTCACCATGGTTGTTTAACATATTTGTAGATGGGGTTGTAGAAGAAGTAAATGCAAGGGTGTTAGGGAGAGGGGTGGGATTAAATTACAAGGAATCAGATGCAAAATGGGAATTGATAGTTACTTTTTGCTTATGATAGCATGCTTTTGGGAGATTCTGAAGAGAAGTTGCAAAGGTTAGTGGACGAGTTTGGGAGGGTGTATAAAGGAAAAAAGTTGAAAGTGTACATAGACATGGGTAAAGTGATGACAGTATCAAATGAGTTAGGTAAAGAAAAATTGGATATCAGATTGGAGGAAAGGAGTATGGAAGAGGTGAATGTGTTTGTGGAGACAAAGATCATTATCCATGAAGGCAAAAAAGTGAATGTATGAGGGTATAGTAATACCAACACCTTTATATGGGTGTGAAACATAGGTTGTGACTGTTGCAGTGAGGAGGAGGAGGAGGAGACTGGAAGCGGTGATGTTGTGTCTAAGGGCAATGTGTGATGTAAATATTACGTAGAGAATGCGTAGCGCTGAAATTAGGAGGTGTGGAGTTACTAAAAGTATTATTCAGAGGGCTAAGGACAGGTTGCTGAGGTGGTTTGGTCATTGAGAAGAGGATGGAGCAAAATAGGATGACTTGGAGGGCGTTTAGATCTGTAGCGGAGGGTAAGAGGAGTAGGAGGTTGTTCTAGGAAAGGATGGAGGGAGGGGGTAAAAGAGGCTTTGTGTGGAAGGGGCTTGGACATGCAGCAGGCATTATTGAGCATGTTAGATAGGAGTGAATGGAGACAGATGGATTTTGAGAACTGACAAGCTGTTCAAGTGTGAGCAGGATAATGTTTTGTGAAGGGATTCAGGGAAACTGGTTAGCCGGACTTGAGTCCTGGAAGTGGACAGTACAGTATCTACACTTGAAAGGAGGGGTTTGAGATATTGGCTGTTTAGAGTGACATCTAAACCGTCGTATTTGTGCCCCTCTGCAAAGACGGTAATAGTGTGAATGATGGTGATTTTTTTTTTTTTTTTTTTTTTTCCACCCTGCCTCGGTGGAAGATGGACAGCCTGTTTAAAAAAAAAAAATGGGTTAACCAAGCTAGTACACCTCTGACTTTGTACTTCATTTTTACACTTCTAGTTCAATAATATTCTGGGAATATACCAAAAGAAACTAGATTTTCCTGTGCTTTGGAAATAAACATACCATTATTGTGTAAATCTAAAACTTATTACAAAATAGCTGCATGATCACTTGGCATGAAGCTCTTGCAAGTGATTCCTTAAGATAATGGTAAGTTTATTATCACAAGAATGCTACTTTGACTTGTGTCTGTCAAACTCAAAACTTTCCCAGACTTCTCTGTTCTTTTCAATTTTTTCTGTTAACCTTGTGCTAGACATTCGGCAATCGAGTGCTAGGATGGGCAGCCTTCCTTATGCCTCTTGCTGTCACGCTATCTACCTTCGGGGCTGCAAATGGAACAGCTTTTACATCTGGCAGGTATGCGTGTGGTGATAGGGATATCTATTTTGTTAGTATTTATGATGGTATTTTTCGTAATACAGTGTTTGTATTTCTCTGGTAACCTGATGAATCCAATTTGTTCGTCAAACTGTAATCAACAAGGGGATAATACTTTAGCCAACATACAGTACAGAGATCACTAGTAAGAATTAAATTTGCATATGGTACATCAATGTAAAAAGAAATCTATGTAAAAAGAAATATAGTGTAAAGTGTGAGGTAATAAAATGGTGGAAGAATATCTTCCCTTCTGTTTCCAGGAATTCCCTGCCTTATTCAAGCATTTACTTCACTCATAGCCAAGCCATCATTAAGAATCCCTGAGGGAATTACAGTATAGTGCTTTATATGAAATAACAGAGATGTTTCTAAACATGAAGGTGTTGAACTTGTTGCTAAGATGGACCCATAAACTTTGTATTTGAAGGTCTTGAAGAATTTTGCAAAATCTGTGAAGAGAAAAATAGAAACCCAGTGTAGAGAATATGAATATAATAAAATTATTAAAATTCAGTACTAAACCTAAAAGGATCACACTGCATTTGAATATATGAATGAAGGAGAGTGCATTCGAGAAATGGAATATAGCAGAGTGGTGAGATTCTTCTGGTTGTAGCTTAAGAAACTTAAAATAGATTCCCTGTACAACTTTACATGTACTATAATATGGAGAGTATTGAGTATAAGGTAAATGAGGCAAGTGATATCAAGTATAAAATTAATTCCACTTGGAGAGTGATATATGAGGGCAATAATTAGAGATGCTATAGTGTTAGTGATAAAATTTTATGTAATTGAAATCTTAAGTTTGGAATAGTAGATATATCAGTAATTGCTAAATAGACAAATTTTAAATTATTTTAAGCCAAGTTGGCAATGAAATTGATGATTAATTAGTCATTGAAACAAATTTAGAAAATGTCTATGGTATACAGTATATACAAATGTGTTGTTGCCGGTACTTGATTTATATATGTAACTGTATAGTTAAAATGGTGAAATATATTCAAGAATCCAAGTACAACAGTGTAATAAACACTGATCGGTGATGCAAAGGAACACACACAGAAAATTAGCAAGGAGTAAAGAGGAATACTGTGGTTCTCTCTTCAACTGAGGCCATCATCAGCACACTCAGTAGGTCATCAGTTATAGGCTGAAATGAACAGTTCTCTGCTCCTCTTTCCTTCTGTTTAATTTTTTTATTTGGTTTCACTTGTACAATATTCAGGAATATACATATATAATATTGTTTTGGCAGTTATATAATATACCTAATTAATATGTTTTGGATGAAGAAATTGGATTTTGTGGAACCAGTTTTACCCTGCACCATGTAAAGAAAATATTGTATTTTGCATTGATGATTGGAGTGTGTGCATGCTCACGGGTCTTTGTTTATATTCCTCTCGTATTTGTGGGATTGATTTTTTAGCTTTTGATGCTTTATTTCTTTGCTTTGCTTTTATTGTTTGGCATATTATACATGATAAGGCATAAGTCTCTTTACCTACTTTTAGTCTGCAACCTTGTAAAACAGAAAAAAAAGTAACACTGCACAGAATTGCATTTCTAGTAAATTTACAAGCTAGTTAACTCATTACCACTCCCAGCATAATGTAATAACTGTTGCTATATCATTACAATCCACAATAAAATTTAATTATTCTCAGTAAAGTGACTTGTGCAGCTCCCTGTATACAGTAGCATGACTAATTTACAATATTTAATTTAATGTCTTATGTAATGAATGTTTATTTTATGCATTGTGTGTATAATACCGTAATTAATCAGGAAACTTCAAGAATTTATTTTTAATCACTTGCATCTAAGTATTGATAAAGTGCATTACACAAGACTAATGTTTGTTCAGTGATAAATAAAACTACTGCATTATTAATGTAATATGTAAAATGTACTGAAGTTATGTAGATAGCAGATCTCAACTGACAACACAGAAAATCATGTTGACTATGGACTTCAGTTATTATAATACATATAATAACAATAATCTGGGGAAGCACTAAACCCATACGAATCATACAGTGCATGGGGAATGGGAAGCAATTGGGTTTAGTCCAAGGAAAGAGAAGATAGGTCCAGTTCACTAGTATCAGGAGTAGGTACCCAATTAATCAGCATTATAAGTTCATCATTGCTACACAGTGGCATTGCTGGGGTTGGTGCCACCCAGGGCAGCATCTTTTGTGTCGCCCCCATGAAATCCAAGGGTGGGGGTGATGGGGGAAAAGTAAACTCCAGTTACGTCACTACTGCATGCCCAATAAATAATGTTTAGAAATGAGAACATTTAAGGGCCATAAACTGACCAGGAAAATGCTTCTCAATTTTATTAATGATAAAATAAATAATTGTAGTAATACTGAGGAAACATAAACTCAAATACCACTTTGAGTACAGGCAACAGATCCTACATTTAATCATCTTCAACAATGCAAAAAAAAAAAAAAAAAATTGAAAAATAAAGAAAAACATTCCAATATCAGAGAAACACTAGTTCCAATTTGGCCTTAAGTACAGGTAATATCTCAATGAATCATATCTTATATTTCCTTGCCTTCAATCCTACAAAATCATCTATCACATCATCAAAATCAATGCTGTCAACTGACTCATTTTCTATGTATAACATTGCTAAGTCAGAGATTCTGGATTGAATCATTGTGGACCGTAAATAGTTTTTAATCAGCTTCAATTTTGAAAAACTCCTTTCACTAGAAGCCACAGAAACATGTACATAATTATAGTAAGGAACAACCTCAGGCAGAGTGCGAGAGTTGGCAGAGATTTAATGAAATCCCATTCAGCTATGAATTTTAGTGCATCCAATGCAGTCCAGTGCTTAACTTTTTCAAGATCAACATCAGCAGCTTACAGGTGCCTCCTTAGTCTTGGTATTTCAAGCATGAGCTCATTCTTGCAGATTTCAGTCAGTGATGAGTGATCATAGTGATGCAATATGGATTAAGGGTTTTTCCAAAATATTGTAAATAAAATTATCAATTTATCATAGTTTTTCATATAGCGTCATGGATTTTCCCCTATATAAGCCTATTTGTACTCTGTAATTATATAATAGCCTATATAAAAACAAAGGATTTTTCTCTTGTGTTGCTGCAGCACTGTTTTGGGCATTAGTGTCACCTTCTTTAGAGGCTCTATGGTGTCACCCATTGGTGTCACCCAGGGCAGCCATCCCCCCCACCCCCGCCCCTACGCGCCACTGTTGCTACATACCAATTATATTTTTGTTAGTTAATCAGTGTATTGTTTCATAAATATTTTTGGACTTCTTTACTTTGGCTTGTAGTTAAAACTTTGCATTAATATTTGCCTTTTAATGTTTATTCATGCAATTATTAACATTTACATTCAGTAATTCAAGTTCAGTGCTCAAGTTTTAAATTAGAATCTAGCAATGGTGTACTACACAAATATGTTTAACTGTGTGTATTCAGATATAAAATTTGCACATTCCTTTTAAGGGTGTTAGTAAAGTTGATATATTCTGTGGCTTCTTTAATCTCTGGGAAATGAATCATCACTTGTCATGTATTAATTTATACCTCTATGTGCGTAGGTTGTGCTTTGTTGCGGCACGAGAAGGACACATGGTAGATGTTTTGTCATATGTCCATGCCAAGAAGCTAACTCCTTCTCCAGCTCTCCTCTTTAATGTAAGTATAAGTATAAATACTTTATAAAATGGTGTAGGTCAAATCTATACTCTCATGGTGGTGCATATTCTAAGGTTTGAGTCTCAGTCAACTGCAGCATGTTTTTTGAACATTAAAATGGTATAAAATACCGACAGATTGTTAGGTAAGACACATATGCAACAGTTAGGTATCTTTATTTTGAAACGTTTCGCCTACACAGTAGGCTTCTTCAGTCGAGTACAGAAAAGTTGATAGAAGCAGAAGATACTTGAAGACGATGTAATCAGTCCATCACCCTTAAAGTTTTGAGGTGGTCAGTCCCTCAGTCTGTTGAAGAGCATTGTTCCGTTGTCTGAAACAATATTGTTTCAGACAACGGAACAATGCTCTTCAACAGACTGAGGGACTGACCACCTCAAAACTTTAAGGGTGATGGACTGATTACATCGTCTTCAAGTATCTTCTGCTTCTATCAACTTTTCTGTACTCGACTGAAGAAGCCTACTGTGTAGGCGAAACGTTTCAAAATAAAGATACCTAACTGTTGCATATGTGTCTTACCTAACAACAGCATGTTTTTTGATTGAGATAAAGAAAGTAGCCAGGCAGGTAACACTCCTCAGTCGACCCTCCCAGGTGACCACCATTTTGTAGACACTGATAATGTGAATGATGGTGAAATTGTTTCTTTTTTTTTGGGGGGGGGGGGGTCCACACTGCCTCAATGGAAGATGGCCAGTGTGTTAAAAAAAAAAAAATGCAGGTATTAAATCCTATTACTCAAATAAAATTTAAAATTTCTGAGCTAACTCTTTGCAACAAAAGAATTAAATTCTGATTTGATACAGATGGTTTAATATATGTTTTGGTAGTATATCTCTCATTTTATTAATAGAAGGAAATTAAAAGTGAACATAGGTAATGAAAGATTGGATAACGGATTGAACGAAAGGAGTATGAACGAAGTGAATGTGTTAGATATTTGTAGTGGACTTGTCAGTGGATGGGTCTTTGAAAGATGAGGGGAACCATAAAATTGACTAGAAGAAAAAGGTGGGTGGTATATTGATGCATCTGTAGAGACAAAGAACATTTTTCTAAAGAGACAATATGGGAAATTTCCCGTAGTGGTACCAATGCTCTTATATAAGTGTAAAACATGGTTTACAAAACTTGTAGCGAGAAGGAGGCTGGAGGCAGTGTAGATGTTATGTTTGAGGTCAATGTTTGGCATGAGTGTTATGCAGAGAATTCATAGTTAGGAGATTAGGAAGAGGTGTGGGGTTACTAAAATATTATCCAGAGAGCTGAGGAGGGTTATTGATGTACATTGGAACCTCAGCTTACGAGTGCCCCACCATACAAGTTTTTCAGGATATGAGCAGTCACTCGGTTGATTTTTTATTTCTGGATACGAGCAAAAATTCAGGATGCGAGCTTCCCCCTCAAACAACTTTTTTTTAGATCTCCAGATCTTACAAGCATAAAAGTGAATATATAATTGTAGTTCATTGTCATGATGTATAATGTAGCTTTTACTGCTTAAGACTATAACTGCAACAGAAATAATAGTACTTCTTACCTTAAATTGTGGGTGCTGGTGTTAGTCAATGATTGTGAAGAGAGTGGAGAGTTATGCTGTGGCTCTACTGGGCAGAGGTGGATGGTAGAGGTACTGGTACTGAAGTCGATGGTAAGTCAGTCAATCAAATCAGTCAGTCAAGTCAGTAAATCAGTCAGTCAAGTCAGTAAATCAGTCAGTCAAGTCAGTAAGTCAGATATGGTAATTAAAAGATCAAAACACAATTCACAAACACAGCTAGCTTGTAGGAGAGAAGTGGAACTGAACAAGTATTATTCACAAAAGCTGGGATGGTGGTGTTGTGTCGGGGGATGGCGGGAAGACTCCCCCGCTCACCCACAACAAGGTGGCAGCTTGAGGTATGGCGCCACCACTCGTCACATAATGACCTATTTTGTTCATTCTAGAGTATATATCAGGTTTCTATGTTATTTATAGTGTTTATTATGTCATATTAGATGAATTGATAGATAAATAAACCGTAGAGTTGATATTAGCAAAATATTGAAGTATTTTATCATGCCTCCTGAGAGCTGGAATAGATTAATTGCATTTCAGTTAATTTAAATGAGGAAAATTGACTCTGCATGTGAGTAAATTGGGATACGAGCAAGGTCACAGAATGGATTAAACTCGTATGTAGAGGTTCCACTGTAGCTTGAACATTTAGAGGATGGGGCAAAATAGGATGACTTGGAGGGTGTATAAATCTGTAGTAGAGGGAAGGTGAGGTAGAGGGTATGGGATCTTCCTAGGAAAAGTTGGAGGGAAGGGGTAAAAGAAGATTTGTGTGCACAAGCTTAGGCATCCAACAGGTGTGTGTGTGTGTATGTGAAGGTGCTTGATAGGAGTAAGTGAAGGTAAGTGGTTTTTGTGACAATATGTTGTTGGAGTGTAAGCCAGGTAATATTTATGAATTGATTTAGGCAAAACCAATTAGCTGGACTTGAGTCCTGGAAGTGGGATGTACAGTGCCTGCATTGTATTGCAATACGGTGATAGTGATGAAGAAAGAGTTCCTTCTTTTCAGGTCCACCTACCTTGATGGGAGATGGCTTCTGTGTTAAAAACAAAATGCTGAATATTATTTTAAATGATTAATTATACGACTTCCCAATATAAATAGAAGGATATTTTTTTTATGTCCTTGGTTATGTGCATACATTAATAGTGATTTTTTTCATTCCACAGGCGGCCATTGCTTTGATTATGGTCATCCCTTCAGATATTGGCTCTCTCATTGACTTCTTCAGCTTCACTGCTTGGATCTTCTATGGGGGTGCGATGGCAGCCCTTATTATTATGCGCTTTACCATGAAAGATGCACCACGTCCCTATAAGGTACAGTACATACTGTTGCACGTGCAGGTTCCTTTTACAGATAAAGCTTATTCATGAGTGCATCAAAATTTTAATAAAAAAAAAAACTCAGTCAAATAGCATTATTACAATAGTCCCTGCAAAGAGGGTTCCTTGATGTTGGTGAGCTCTTGATCCAAAGAATTGAATCGGTTCTACCCATGGATAGAATCTGATTGCCTCCCATTTCCCCAGGCACTGTATGACCCCATATAGGTTTAGCACTACTCCAATGACTATAATAAATAATATAATGAAGTCCAAAAATTTAGGCAGTACAACAAACTGGTAATGCTGTGCAACTTATCTCTCAAAACAGGTGCCAATTGCTATCCCAGTCTTGGTCCTGATCATCTCTGTGTACCTGGTTGTGGGCCCTATCATCGACTCTCCGAAGATTGAATATCTTTATGCCTCCCTCTTCATCATTGCAGGCCTATTCTTCTATTTCCCCTTCGTCTACATGAAGAAGAGTATTCCTGGCATGGGTAAATATTGTCAAGTTGTTTGTGGAATCTCTATTTGGCTTCCTTTATTCCCTAACAGAAACATGTTATTTTAACATCAGCATAAGTTAGTGTAGGTTGACCATCACTAATACGGCATCATCGGGACCTGTAGGGTGCCGGTTTAGTGATTTTTGCCGGATTAGAGTGGTTAGGTTAGAATACATTTAACCCAACAGCGATATTTACGCATCGGCGATATCACCCAGTTTACTCCCTGTTTTTGGCCCACTCCACAGTTCCAGTCTACTAGACTCTTGTACTCGATTGATTACAAGAAACTGCCCATTTACCTGTTTCAACTACCCAGTAAAGTGGTCAGAAATTGGTAATTTGGCCAATTTCACACATATTTCAAGAGATGCCAGTTTCAAAGTAGGGTCCAGAATAAACACTGCAGATATTCCTAGTACTAAAATAACATTTTCTCTGTTCATTAGTCACATCTCCATGCCCCTCTTATATTACACTTGCTTTCTGTTTTTAATTTCTGTTCACACAAAAAATAGAAGATTTACTGTTATGTAGACTGCTGCATTATTGTAATAATTGTATAAATAATGTCAACCCATTTGTGACTGCATATTAGACCAGCTAGTTGGACACTCTTGAACATTGGCAAAAATCAAACATTTCTGCTACTTTGAGCTGAGTTTTAAGGTACTTTACAGTGTGAAACCAATTAAAATTATATCTACTTCTGTAATATATTTTCCATTCTATCAAATGAGACCAAAACAACAAGAATACAACTATACTAACCGTACAAAAATACACTACAAAGTCGCTTTTACACCAAAAGCACAGTCGCCATTTTTTATTATTATGCATTGCTTGGTGCAGGATTTTTTTTATATAGTGCACACTTACCACACAGACCCATTCTCTCACATGTAGGCCCAGATTTACCTGTCACAGCTTTTCTGAGTGAGCCGAGCTCATGGCGACTGACAGTAGCTTCAAAGCCACCTTATCTTTTATGGACAATATACGGTGTATGTGCTTTAGACAATGAGAAGCATTTCTTTTATTCATTGGAACTATGGCTAGGGCTAAAAGTGAGCAGGTTATAACAATAAATGGAGAAAAAGAAATTGGAATGACTTGTGCAGCAAGTGGCACTGCCAAACAGTAGCAGCAGGTTGGTGTGGTGACCCCGGAAATTTGAAATTATGCTAGCTGAAATTAGTGCCAGATTACTGATTGCCAGATTAGTGATGACCAACCTGTACCATTTTTTCATTAGGTAAAGTACTATAATAGGTGACAAGTATTTTTGCAAGTCATGCCCACCTGGTTTTTCACTCACTACAACAAGTACAGGGTAATAACCCCCAAAACCATCATTGTTACGTACCACTCTCATACTCACAGACATTTCAGAGTAAAACTACAAACCCATAGCTTAGATTGTGACTATTACTGCCCCACGTCTCCCTCCCCTTCATCATGAACATTCTTTCACCATTGCCTTCCCTATTCTTACTTATCTCCATTTCTGATGTTCCCAGAATGCCCCAATTCACAAAAACATTGTAATCTACCAACTTTTTAATGCACTGTCACTGATTTCCTACACCCTCCAACTCTGGATATTCTCTTTCCAATCATGCCAAGCATCATTCACCTGAAGCAATGTTTTGTTCACAGTGATCAACTCCAGCACCTTCCTAGTAATTCCAAGAAGTAACTCCCTTTCATTTTATAAGACTATTGCAACATTTTGTAATATGTTAAATGCAACTTTAATATATAAGCACTGTACTTGCAAGAGTTTTACTATCCTGACTGAGAGGCTAAAATGTTAAATTCAAGAAAAAAGTCTTCCTGATGAATTTGCAGTGGCCAAACATGAATTCCCTAACTCCATAACACTATACTCTTCTTCCCTTACCCTCAAAAGCAATGCACCCTTTAACCCCCCTCCCCACAATAACACCCCAAAGCTGCATCAGGTACCTTCCCTTCATGCATACATTGATGGGATTGAAAGATTAAGTCTTCACTATAAAGTGGGAGTTGTCACAGTTGCTTTTTGCTGATGACTTGGTGCTTTTGGGAAGTTTTGAAGAGAGGTTGAAAAGGTTGGTAAATGAATTTGGAATTGTATATAAAAGCAGGAAATTAAAAGTAAAAATTGGAAAGAGCAAAGTGTTGAGTGTAATAAAAAATTTGGGTAAACAAAGAAGCAACTTTATTTCTATACTGTACAGTATATAATTAGGGTAACTGACACGTATAAAACTATAGACAGCTCCTTGTTCTGCAAAGCATTTTGGTCAGCCTTAAAACTAACTTATAATTACTAGACGATGAGACATATAGTACATGAGAATAAGAAAAATGAAGGTATTCAGTATTATAATAAAAATTATATGAAAGATTGAAAGGAAGGAGTGTGGAGGAAGTGAAAGCATTCAGATACTACTTGGGCATGGACTCTCGGCAGATGGCTTTATGAAAGATAAGATGACCCATAGGATTGACGAGGAGAAAAAAGTGGGTGGTGAATTGAGACATCTGTGGAGACAAAGAACTTATACATGGAAGCAAAAGTGGGAATGTACCAGAGTATAATGGTACCAACACACTATGGTTGTGATGCATGGGTTCTAAATTTTGCAGAGGAGGAGAAGACCAGAGGCAGTGGAGATGCTGTGTCTGAGGTCAATGTAACCTTTACAAAGAAATAAACCTTTATCTTATCTTATGTCATAATCCAACCTGTCCCTTTCATTCTCCCCACTGCCTCACATACTTTGCCCCACATCCACCTCAGACTCCTTCCTTCAGTAGGATATTGTTGGGGAGAGAGGTAGTGGTGTGAGGGAGAGTGTTGTGTTAGGTCTTTGCCTCACTGAATTTGTCTTTGTCCAGGATATATAAGCATGCCAAATACCCTAGGTCCTTTCCCCTTGGCCTCCAATTAGTGCTTGGGGCCTCTCTCCTGAGTTCCCAGGCATCCCGTTCACACCTGTTCTTACCCACCTGACTGCCAGCCACTGACGTACTAAACAACATAAATAATAAATCTACAGTTCTTGATCATTCTCTCCAAAAAAAAACCTCTTTTATGCATTCATTAAATAAACATGTACTAAGTATGAATCCATTTGGTAAAAGTTAACAGAGAAAAAATAAATGTTAAATAAATGCGTCTTAATTAAATGACTCACGAAATCATAATGACACGGTTGCAAACAAACCATTCCACTGGCGGGGATAGAACCCGTGATCAGAGAGTCATAAAACTCCAGTGGCTAGCGTGTCGGTCTGGAGTTTTATGACTGATTGCAGGTTCTATCCCTGCCCGTGGTATACAGTAGTTTGTCTTCTTGATTAATCTTTAGCAAATAAGTGAGGTCTGTATACATGCGTAAAATGAACACAAAGAAAGTATGAATGCATTTAGTAAAAATTAACGAAGAAAAATATTTGTAATTCAGCCTTAAGAAAATTGGTAAATACAGTATAGTCTTCTTGCCATCAGAATTATGAAACATTTGTAAGTGAGTTATTAACTGATTCCAAATTGCCAACATCCTAAGTGTGAAACATCTTAAGTGTAAGAATATGTACATTCCTATAAAGTGAGACTAATTTTTGTAGAAAATGAGTGTAATTTTTATAGAAAAGATCTTATAATATAAACTTTCCAAAGAAATCAATTAATACTGTGATCTCTCTTCCATTAGGCCACATGACTACTATCCTCCAGCTGTTGCTCCAAGTTGTGCCCACAGATGTCATGCCTGATGCCTAAAGGACAAACTAACTCAGTTGGTCAACTGGGGCACTCCAGGCTTGAAAATAAACACTACCCCTCCAATCTGGGTGAAAATTTTACAAGGGTCTAAGTCAAAAATGAAAGTTTGAAGTTTCAACTTCTAACCCAATGGTTAAAAGTTATGTGCAGGACCATTTTGAAGCCAACATTTGCAATGTTGAAAGTTTGGCTAATAGAGATGGACTCATGCATTTATAAATGCTCTTTTTATTAATCACATCACACAGAATCCTTTAATAGGATCAAAAGTCAAACAAAAATTTTTACTTGACATAATTTAGTCTTGTCAGCTCCACAAATTTTATATTAAATCTTGATGATGATTACTCACAACAGACGGTCATCATCCAGTTTTCATTACCTATTTGGGGGATTGCTGTGAATTGTCTCAAGTGTTTTATTGTGATTTCTATTCTGAAGCCTTATACATATGTGCTTATGTACAGTATATCGCAGGATTACCAAAATGTAATGCTAAAAATGAAAAGTTTGTCCATTTATTTCTCAAACTGAATATTATTAGAAACTTGCATCTAGTGTAGATGGTCTATAAGAATTTTTTATTCATTCAGCTATTCAAAAATAGTGATGTGGTCCTCATATTATATATGTAAAGTAAAACCTGCTATATTTCAAAGCACTTTAATGTCAAAATATAAAACTGAGAACTTTGTGTAAAGCAACATTTTTTTTTTCCATTGGTCTGACTTCAGTAGATTGCACATATAACATTTAAAATCTTTATTTTTAAAACTGATTAATAATATATACATTATATTGACAGGCATAATAAGTCATTGACTACCAAGATGCCATTCTCATTTATGACACTTAAAATTTCCTTGCCACTAATTTTTATATATGGGCCAGATAGAGTTGAAACTTGGAAAAGTTTTTTTGTGATCTGAAACTACCTTTAAAAATTTTCAGCCATTTTGGAGTGGGTAGGGTGCAAATGACTGCCCATGTTATCTGGGAATGTCTTACCAGTACTGGATTGTCCCACCTTATCATTCCATAAGCCATCATTACCAGCAGTTGCAGTACAGTAACCTAAGAAAGGTCTTTTTAACAGCTAGAATAGTCTGTTTGTCTGCAGTAATGGCATGACTATAATGGCCATGGTTTATCTACTCTTGGACATAAGCAAGTTTATTCTCTTCAATATTATACTCTGTTCCTAGCATAAGCATGGTGCCCACTGACAAATGCCGGGACCAGAACAGAATTTATGAGTCGACCAATGAACCAGATGGGCTTTTACACCAGTTTGGTAGGATTATGGATATACTGTGGAAACAAGCTTAAACTAAATTAGAAACTAACATCACTTCCTCACTGAACCTGAACTGTAAACCTAGAGGATGTTAAGCCAGTATGATAAGCAATGACAAATGTACTCTTACATCAAAACTTGTTTTTAGACAGCACTTGACTTTAGTAAAGAAACATGTTTTTCTATGCTGATTATCTCCCCCAGAATATACATCATTCTTGTCACACCTAATAGTCTTACTGTGTTACATATCCTGTTTTCTGCTAATAGCCAGTGTTACTCATGAGACTCTCATTACCAGTAGCAAACAACTGTTAAGTTGTTACAAGACAACCCCGTGGATCCCACTGACAGAACAATAGTCGTGTCATTCAAGTGATACTCTGTAAGGAGGACTCGCATTAAAGTAAAAAGAAGAAATAGTAAGGAATTACCAGACCTATGGTAGTGTAGGACCTTATTTCCAGAATTATTCCATAAAACTCAAACCTGGAGTCATACATACAACTAGAAGAGCAAATCACTTGTAAGGGGAAAAGGGACACACACTTACCATAGGACTAGTAAACTTCAAAAAGTTGAATGTGCAATATTAGGGCATCTTAGGAGTGTTTTTTTTTTTTTTTAGTGAAGTTACTTAACCCATGTACTGAATGTGTTGTGAAAAAAATTTAAGTAAATACCCCAGATTATTCTAAGTAGAAACTATCCAGAACTTAAATAGAATTAATTTTATTAGGAGAGTGAAGAACAGTACTGTCTGGTAATTCTGTACATTAAAGAACCATAACATCACTAAATCAGATTCAGTTGCCAGTTTTTTCCTCCTTTAGCTCTTAAGATGTTTTCCGAACAACTCAGTTTAAATGAGCATCCTTCTACTTGTTCAGGCCTGGCCATTTGTGGCTCAGTTACTGGACAGACTTCTATTTCATAGCTTTTGGCACTTCAGCTACCATGAAGCCATGCTACCCATTATGCCTTTTGCTATCCCAAGGTTCGTTTACACAAAGGCAGATGCCTGTCACATTTTCGATTGCCTTTTTTTCTTCAGTTTTGGACTTAATAGATTGATATATCTTACCATGATACTCTAGTACGTAATTTTACATGTCATCAAGATATACTAGTAAAGATTATGAAGAGAGCTTTAAGCAGAATTCACGAGGATGCCCAGCAGGAATTAACAGTCTTTTGCCACTGGTTATTACATTGAAGGGAAAGCACTAAATCCATAGGAATCATGCTGCATTTGCCACTGGTAATATGCTAGCCTGGCAGAGTAACCATTACCCTTTGAATCCCAAAAGGCTAGAACAATTGTTTTAAACCAGTTGTAATGTTCTTTTGTGAATTCTTTTTCAACTACAGAATATTTTAATTTTAGGATAGAAAAATTTATTGATCAGTTTGATATCTAAGAAAAGCTTAATGTTTCTTGTTACTTAATTACTATTTTTAATACCTTCCAAACCTAATAATGACAGAATTACATTGAAACTAACATGAATTGCTAAAGTTTCTTTGTTTTGCTTCCAATACAAGTAAGTTGACTGCCACACTTGGTATGTATAATATACATAAGTATGTATATATAGTTTATAATATATTGTATATATAAATATATACATACATATTGTACTGTACATGGATATGAGGCAGTTTTATAAAGATAAAAATATTGTGTGCCTAAAATAAAATTACAGCTTAAATTCAGTGACATGAATCGTATCTTTAGAGACAATGCAGTATGGACCTTTTATCTTAATGAATATTTAGAACATTTAAATATATTAAAATTGCATCCCTACAGATCAACATAATTTTTTTTGCAGATCCTGATGTGTGCTATTTAGGATATTGTATTGAGGCTGATTATTTTGAGAATAGATAAATAAGTTGCTAATAGTAAATTCAGTACTTTAAACAGTCTTACTAGTAAAATCAACCTTATTACAGTGTATGTAGATGTGACAGTACCAAGAGAGGCCTTCAGCCACCCCCATAATTTCTGTTCCCCAAACCCACCCTAAATGAAAATAATAACTGTCATATAAGAACATAAGAACATAAGAAAGGAGGAACACTGCAGCAGGCCTGTTGACCCATACTAGGCAGGTCCTTTACAATTCATCCCACTAACAAACATTTGACCCACCCAATTTTCAATGCTACCCAAGAAATAAGCTCTGATGTGCAAGTCCCACTCAAATCCAACCCCTCCCACTCATGTACTTATCCAACCTAAATTTGAAACTACCCAAAGTCCTAGCCTCAATAACCCAACTAGGTAGACTGTTCCACTCATCAACTACCCTATTTCCAAACCAATACTTGCCTATGTCCTTTCTAAATCTAAACTTATCTAATTTAAATCCATTACTGCGGGTTCTCTCTTGGAGAGATATCCTCAAGACCTTGTTAATATCCCCTTTATTAAAAACCTATCTTCCATTTATTTCACTTCGATCAGGTCTCCCTCATTCTTCGTCTAAACAAGTGAATGTAACTTAAGAGTCTTCAATCTTTCTTCAAAAGGAAGATTTCTAATGCTATGTATTAATTTAGTCATCCTACGCTGAATGTTTTCTAACGAATTTATGTCCATTCTGTAATATGGAGACCAGAATTGAGCTGCATAATCTAGGTGAGGCCTTACTAATGATGTATAAAGCTGCAGTATGACCTCTGGACTTCTGTTGCTTACACTTCTTGATATAAATCCCAGTAATCTATTTGCCTTATTACGTACGCTTAGGCATTGCTGTCTTGGTTTAAGGTTGCTGCTTACCATAACCCCCAAGTCCTTTTCGCAATCTGTATGGTTAAGTTCTACATTATTTAACTTATAAGTGCTAGGGTTATGGACACTCCCGAGCTTCAGAACCTTGCATTTATCTACATTGAACTGCATCTGCCACTTTTCTGACCAAGAGTAGAGTTTGTCTAAATCCTCCTGAAGTTCCCTAACATCTACGTTTGAATCAATTATCCTACCTATCTTCGTGTCATCGGCGAATTTGCTCATATCACTAGTAATTCCTTCATCAAGATCATTGATATATATTATAAACAACAACGGGCCCAAGACTGATCCCTGTGGAACGCCACTTGTTATTGATCCCCACTCGGATTTAACCCCATTTATGGACACTCTTTGCTTCCTGTCTGTGAGCCATGATTCGATCCACGAGAGCACCCTTCCCCCAATGCCATGAGCTGCTACTTTCTTCAACAGTCTTTGGTGCGGAACTCTGTCAAATGCCTTACTAAAATCTAAGTAAATAATATCAAATTCTTTGTCGTGGTCAACAGCCTCAAAAGCTTTACTGAAGAAAGTTAATAAATTAGTTAGACAAGACCGGCCTCTTGTGAATCCATGCTGAGTATCATTAATCAAGCTATGCTTATCGAGATGGCTTCTTATAATCTCAGCTATAATTGACTCTAGTAATTTGCCTACAATTGAGGTCAGGCTTATTGGGCGGTAATTTGACGGTAACGACTTGTCCCCTGTTTTAAAATAGGAATTACATTAGCCATCTTCCACATATCAGACACTGCACCTGTTTGAAGAGATAAATTAAAAATATTAGTTAATGGTTCACAGACTTCCATTTTGCATTCCTTTAGAACCCTTGAAAAAACCTCATCAGGACCCGGTGACTTATTTTGCTTCAGTCTGTCTATCTGCTTCACAACCATTTCACTAGTGACTGTGATGTTACATAATTTATCTTCTTCTGATCCACTATAAAAATTAATTACCGGAATATTATTAGTGTCTTCCTGTGTAAAAACCGAGAGAAAATAATTATTTTAAATCGAGCACATTTCATTCTCTTTGTCAGTAAGATGCCCATAGTTATTTTTAAGGGGACCTATCTTATCTCTGACTTTTGTTCTATATACCTGGAAAAAACTTTTTGGGTTAGTTTTAGAATCCCTAGCAACTTTAATTTCATAGTCCCTTTAGCTTTTCTTATCCCCTTTTTAATGTCCCTCTTAGTGTCAATATACTGATTCATAAGATGACCCTCGCCTCTTTTGATACGCCTATAAATTCCTTTCTTATGCCCTAGTAGATATTTCAGCCTATTATTCATCCATTTTGGGTCATTTCTATTTGATCTAATTTCTTTATAAGGGATAAATGTTCTTTGAGCAGCATGTATTGTGTTCAGAAAACTGTCATATTGATAGCTCTCTTCGTTACCCCAGTCAACAGATGATAAGTGTTCTCTAAGCCCATCGTAATCTGCTAAGCGAAAATCTGGGACTGTTACTGAGTTATCCCTACTATCATACTTCCATTCAATTCTAAATGTAATTGATTTGTGGTCGCTAGCACCCAGTTCTTCTGAAACTTCTAAATTATTAACAAGGGATTCATTGTTTGCCAGAACTAAGTCAAGCAGGTTATTACCCCTTGTAGGTTCTGTCACAAACTGCTTCAGAAAACAATCCTGAACTACTTCTAAGAAGTCGTATGATTCTAAATTCCCAGTCAAGAAATTCCAATCAATATGACTAAAGTTAAAGTCTCCTAGAATTACTACATTATCGTGCCTTGTGGCCCTAACAATTTCCTCCCATAGTAGTCTTCCCTGGTCCCTATCTAAATTTGGGGGACGGTATTATCACACCTAAAGTTAATTTTTCATGCCCCTCTGAGAATTCTATCCAAACAGACTCTGTATGTGTTACTTCAGACTTAATACCCGTTTTAATGCAACAGTTCAAGCGATCTCGGACATACAATGCCACCCCACCCCCCTTCCCGATACTTCTATCTACTTGGAAACAATTTGAAACCCTGAATGTGACATTCTGCAGGCATGTCCCGACTTTTTGAATTAAACCACGTCTCAGTAATGGCAAATACATCTATGTTACCTGCACTAGCAACTAGTCTCAACTCGTCCATCTTATTCCTAGCACTGCGACTATTTGTGTAATATATACTTAAGGACCCTCCTTTCTCTTTATCATTCCTGCTCCTTTCTGTTATTTCTACTAAACCTATTACTGTCCTTGTCAATTAGTGCCACTGGCTTTCCGATATCCACCTCATTTTGCCTATTACTAGTTCTCCTAGTACTCATATTACTACCCTGAGACTTCACAGTTTTTCCGCAGAAACCCATACCACTAACTATTCCTAGTTTAAAGACCTAACAGCTCCCTCCACTGCGTTGGCCAGTGCTCCCACCCCACACCTAGATAAGTGAACCCCATCCCTGGCATACATGTCATTTCTGCCATAGAAGAGGTCCCAGTTGTCAATGAATGTCACCGCATTTTCCTTACAGTATTTGTCCAGCCAGCAATTGACACCAATTGCTCTGGACAACCATTCATTACCAACACCTCTTCTTGGCAAAATGCCACATATAACAGGGTACCTCTGCAGAGACGGTGATATTGTGTGAATGATGGTGAAAATGTCTTTCTTTTTTGGGTCACCTTGCTTTAGTGGGAGACAGCTGTCATGTTAAAAAATAACAATACTGTAATATTATTATTATTATTCCCCCCCCCATCAAACTCATCCCTTTCAAAGAGATTGCCACCCCCAAGCCCCTCTGATATAGAAATTCTGGAGCTGCCGCTGGCCTGCCTCACTTATAAACTTGTGTTAGTGATATAACAGACTGAAAAATTCAGTGTGTAGAATGCAGTAATAAGTTAACTGTTTTAAGATAGTTATATCAGGATGGAAGGTTAAACTATTTCTTTTTTGTATAGAATAATTTAAAATTCCAGATGTAATTTGAGCTGTGCATATTGTAAACCCAACACTTCATACAGTACTTGTCCTTGGTGTTCCACACTGTAATGTGGTTACTGTATAATGTGCTGTACTATGTTGGGATAGTATATGAAATTGGTATTTACTTACTTCATAGGGAAGCAAAAAATCCCTAGGAATTATACAGGATCTTGGGGAATGAGAAGCAATCAGATTCAATCCGAGGAAAGGAATGCTATGACTCACGAAATCGTAATGACACGATTGCAAACAAACCATACCCCGGCCGGGATTGAACCCGCGGTCATAGAGTCTCAAAACTCCAGCCCGTCGCGTTAGCCACTAGACCAGCTAGCCACAATAAGATTCGTCCAACTAGGTATATTTCTACACCATAGGAAGGTTAGCACAGCTCAGATTCTTTGGATCAAGAGCCCTTCACCAGTCTCAGTGCACCTCCCTTGAAGGTATGAAATGAGTAAAATGAGGGTGCTTGTACATCTTTGACCCAAGTGACTTTACTGCAGTGTCCTGTAAGTCTGGAACCATAGGGGTATCAGTACACAAAACACTATCATTTCTAATACCGTTCACCACGTACTTGTTGACTGGATATCTCGTCTACATTCCATGTACCAGTGATAATGGACACTTCAAACATGTTGTGTGAATGAAAGCCTTGATTATTGCCATCTTTTAATTTTTTAAGTGGTTCAGGACACTATAATCCTCTTTTGGTTTTAAGGTTAAGTTAACTGCTGAATTTTGCTGTCATTTTCACTTTTCATTTACTTATCATTGTGATAATTTGGGAGAGTGATTTCTTTTTCTTTTCATTCCTGTCAGGAGATTAAGGACCGATGCCTGGAATTTGAATTAATCATCCCCTTCCTCAGATCCGACCCAATTACTTTCTATTCTCTGGGCATTGTATGACCCATTACAGGTGGCTTGGTGGCTAAAGCTCCCGCTTCACACACGGAGGGCCCGGGTTCGATTCCCGGCGGGTGGAAACATTTCGACACGTTTCCTTACACCTATTGTCCTGTTCACCTAGCAGCAAATAGGTACCTGGGTGTTAGTCGACTGGTGTGGGTCGCATCCTGGGGGACAAGATTAAGGACCCCAATGGAAATAAGTTAGACAGTCCTCGATGACGCACTGACTTTCTTGGGTTATCCTGGGTGGCTAACCCTCCGGGGTTAAAAATCCGAACGAAATCTTATCTTATCTTATCTTAAATTTCTTGTACTTCAATTAAAAAATCTATGTACATAGCCCATGTACATTTTGAAATATAAAAGGAAGCCCACATAGCCCAATCCTCAAAGTAGCCTTGTAAAAATATCTCGATATCTTGAATACATATATTCGACAATAATCAGGAATTAAAATAAATGGATGCCCTTGCTTCCCAAGGAAAAAATGCATTTCATAAATTATTCACATTTTCAGACTTGCAATAATGCTAAATGAAATGACACCATAATCACATTTTATGGGAGGGAGGGGGTTTCAGTATTTTTAAGGAAATTTTCAGATGCTGTCATTAAAGGACAAGTCTCTATATATTTCCTCTTTTTAAATTGTGTCTGTTTGTGAATTGTTTACATACACAAATATATCACTTATAATCAGAATAAAGTTTTGTATGTTATATTTGAGCTAAATGGT